TAAAGGCATCAGCTAGAAATAAATCATGAAAAGAAAACAAGGAACCTTCCCACTTCATGGAGATTGAGATCCACACTACTGGAAGACCACTGGACTAATGAGGAGATAAAAGAAGAAATTAAAAAATACTTTGAGTTGGGCCTCCCCCGTGGCGCAGAGGTTGAGCGCTGGGTTGCGAAGCAGCCCGCAGCCTCTGCGGCGCCAGTTTGATCCCTGGCTGCTCCCCGGCCACCGGAGGAGGGTCCCACATGGCGCGCAGACCTCTACTGCCGCCCACTGCTCCCCTCAGCAATGTACTTCGGTCCTTCTGCCTGCTCTGCTCCCCGCTCTGGCTCTGGTGAATTCTCTCACCCTCCCACGCTTCTGACTGTACCCAGTGCATGTATAAACAAACAAACAAACAAACAAATAAATAAATAAAATATGCCTCTATTAAAAAAAAAAATACTTTGAGTTGAATGACAAAGAAGACACCACTTTCCAGAATGTATGGGATGCAGCAAAAGCAGTAATAAGAAGAAAATATATAGCAATACAGGCTCACATCAACAAACAAAAAAGAACTCAAAGAAACAACCTAACCTTACATCTCAAAGAACTAGAAAAAGAACAACAACAACAAAAAAAAAAAAAAACCCTAAAGCCAGTAGAAGAAAGGAAATAATAAAAATCAAGGCAGAAATAAATGAATTAGAAATTAAAAAAACAATCCAAAAGATCAACAAAACCAAAAGTCGGTTCTTTGAAAAAACAAACAAAATAGAAAACCTCTAGCAAGGCTCACAAAGAAAAAATGGGAGAAAACATGTATAAATAGGATTATAAATGAAAGAGGAGAAATCACAACAGACTCAGTAGAAATCAAAAGAATAATAAGAGATTACTATGAACACTTATACGCAAACAAATTTAACAACCTAGAAGAGATGGAGAAATTCCTAGAACAATATAATCATCGAAAGCTGGACAAAGAAGAAATACAACAACTAAACAGACCAATTACAAGCAGCGAAATTGAAGCAGTAATCAAAGCACTCCCCAAAAACAAAAGCCCAGGCACAGACGGCTTCATAAATGAATTCTACCAAATGCTCAGCAGTGAATTAGTGTCTATCCTACACAAACTCTTTCAAAAAATGGAAAAAGAAGGAATACTACCAAATACATTCTACGAAGCCAACATTACACTAATAACAAAAAACAACAAAGACAGCACAAAAAAAGAAAATTACAGGCCAATCTCCCTAATGAACACTGATGCAAAAATCCTCAACAAAATCCTTGCCAACAGAATCCAACAATGCATCCATAAGATAATTCACCACGATCAAGTAGGATTTATTCCAGGGATACAAGGATGGTTCAACATCCGAAAATCAATCAATGTAATCCAACACATCAACAAAAAGAAATATAAAAACCATATGATAATATCCACAGATGCTGAGAAAGCATTCAACAAAGTACAACACCCATTTATGATAAAGACTCTTGAAATTCTCGGGATACAAGGAACATAGCTCAACATCATAAAGGCCATCTATGACAAGCCCACAGCCAATATCATTCTCAATGGTGAAAAGCTGAAAGCATTTCCATTAAGATCTGGAACAAGAGAAGGATGTCCACTCTCACCACTGCTTTTCAACATAATACTGGAAGTCCTAGCCAAAGCAATAAGACAAGAGAAAGACATACAAGGAATCCAAATAGGCAAGGAAGAAGTCAAACTATCACTATTTGCAAATGATATGATAATATACACATAGAACCCCAAAAACTCCACAGAAAAACTAATTCAAGTAATCAATCAGTTTACTAAGTGGCAGGATACAAAATCAACACACAAAAATCAGTAGCATTCCTATACACAAACAATAAATCTGAAGAAGAAATCAAGAAAACTATTCCTTTTATTATAGAAACAAACAAAAAATCAAATACTTGGGAATAAACCTAACAAAAGAAGTAAAGGACCTATACAATGAAAACTATAAAACACTGTTAAAAGAAATAGAAGTAGACACAAAGAAATGGAAAGACATCCCCTGCTCATGGATCAGAAGAATTAACATTATCAAAATGGCCATCCTACCAAAAGCAATTTATAGATTCAATGCTATTCCAATTAAAATTTCAATGTCATTCTTCAAATAAATAGAAAAAAATATTGATGAAATTCATATGGAGCCACCAAAAACCCTGAATAGCCAAAACGCTCCTGAAAAAAAAAAAAGGAAGGGAATGGAGGCATCACTCTCCCAGATTTCAAACAATACTACAAAGCCATGTTAATCAAAACTGCATGGTATTGGAACCAGAACAGACACATGGACCAATGGAACTGAATAGAAAACCCAGAAATAAACCCACAGATCTATGGTCAACTAATCTTTGACAAAGGAGCAAGAATATGCACTGGAGCAAAGAAAGTTTGTTCAATAAATGGTGCTGGGAAAACTGGGTCGCTACATGCAAAAGAATGAAGCTTGACTACTACCTCACACCATGCACAAAAACCAACTCAAAATGGATTAAAGAACTAGACATAAGACCTGAAACCATAAAATATATAGAAGGAAATATAGGCAAAACATGACCTGACATGCACCTCAAAGACATCTTTACAGATGCATCACCCAAAGCAGTGATAGTGAAGGCAAAGATAAACAGCTGGGACTACATCAAATTAAAAAGCCTCTGCACAGCATAAGAGACAATAACCAAAACAAAAAGAAATCCCATCGACTGGGAGAAAATTTTTGCACACAACACTAATGATAAAGGACTGATCACAAAAATCTACAAAGAGCTGATGAGACTCAACAAAAACAAAGAAAATAATTCATTCAAAAAATGGAGAGAAGAACTAAAAAGAAACTTCTCCAAAGAGGAAATGCAAATGGCCACCAGGCATATGAAAAAATGTTCAACATCACTTGTAATCAGGGAAATGCAAATCAAAACTACAATGAGATACCATCTCACACCAATGAGAATGGCACATATTAAAAAAACTAGCAACAACAAATGTTGGCAAGGATTTGGAGAGAAAGGAACTCTCCTGCACTGCTGGTAGGAGTGCAAACTGGTCCAACCACTCTGGAAAGCTGTGTGGAGATTCCTCAGCCTACTAAAGATAGAGCTTCCAAATGATCCAGCAATTCCACTCCTAGGTATTTACCCAAAGGACACAGAAACATTAATTCCAAAGAGCACCTGCACCCCTATGTTTATAGCAGCACAATTTACAATAGCTAAGCTTTGGAAACAGCCCAAATGCCCAAAAATAGATGACTGGATCAAGAAGATGTGGTACATATATACCATGGAATATTACTCAGCATTCAAAAAAGATAAACACATGCAATTTGCAGCAACATGGATGGAGCTGGAAGGGATCATGCTCAGTGAAATAAGCCAGAAAGAAAAAGAAAAATACTGATGGTCTCACTCATAACAGGAATTTAGAAAACCTAAATAAGGGACCAGGAAAAAGAATAACTATAAGAAAGAAAAAAATAAAAACAAACAACTATGAACCAGAGACACACTTTGGGGGGGGGTGGGGAAAGGAGGGATTGGGGTCAAAATCAGAGGGTTGCAATTGTATGGGGAATATGAAAATAAAAAAAAGATATAAAACAATAAAAAAATTACAAAAAAAGCACTGAATTAATATGTTAGACACACTAATAGGAAGGTGGAAAAGATTGGTGTCAGGGAAAAAGGATGAGGAATATGCATAGAAGGCTTTGATCAGGGGGCATGTCTCTATGGGAGACTGGATGTTAAGAAGTGACTCTTCAAAAAGCAAATGCAAAGCCTTCTGTTAGATGAAAATGAAAATGTATTCTTGGAAGTTTGAATTTAATCACAATTAACTGCCGTGGTATGGGTCTCTGGGTGCTTTGGTGGTGGGAAAACTATGGTGACCACACCTGAAGGGAGAAATCCTATATTGTGAAAAAACAAACAACAATGTAAAATAATGATACATTATTAATGAAAAAATGTATATATTATAAAAAATTAATTACCAAATGTTTCAAATAAGCTACTCCAGAATTTAATATATTCATTCCATGAGTTTCTCACAATAACACCTATCCACTATATCTACTGATAGCATTGACTAAAATCATTTTTATTACAAAAAGATTTTTTCATATTCTTTAATTTTCATCACTGATAGGATATAAAAATTAAACATGAAAACAGCAAAAAGTGAGGTAATAGTACTTATTTTCCCACAAATAAAATTTTGCTATGATAAATGTTAGTTTATTCAGTTAAAGCAGTTCCAGTTACCTTTTCCTGATGCATAATGCTTGAAATGTAATATTCACCACAAAAAGGGATGAATTAATTACTCTGCTTTCCAACTTTCAATGATTTCCTAACAGGCTGGCTTGTAATAAAACAGCTCTGAATTAACTGAGAAACCTAGATCTTGAGATTTCATTAAATTTTGAAATCAACAAATGAAATAATTTCAACAGTCAGATGAGAGAATAGAAATTGCACTTCAAGTGATACATGTACTTAGCCTCCCAATAAGATTTAGGGGAAAAATAGATTTTAAATTGAAAAAAAATCTGAAAGATCAGTTTCATCTAGCTGAAAGATTATCATCAACATTATTGAAATTAGAAAGCCAATAATTTGTATTTAATAGATGCTGTTTTGCTGGCAATAAAATATTTCTTGGAATCTCATTAGAAAAGGATGGATCACAATGAAATTTGGGGTTTACAACTCTGAAGAGTGTCACATGCTCTAGGAACTCAAACTCATGTGAGCATAGAGGCTGGCACATAGTCAGGGCTTAATAACTGTTTAATGGTTAAATGATTGAGTGAATGGAGAACAAGATGAACAAATGAAATTTTTCAGGAGCATTTTAAAGACCGATGGGGTGGAGGCAGAGAGAGAGAGAGAGAGAGAGAGAGAGAGAGAGAGAGAGAGAGAGAGAAACTATAATTTGTAAAAAGACTTACTTATTCCATGCTTGTCTAAGATTTTTAGAGCTGTACAGGGTAAAGCGTTCTGAAATAAAAAAGAAAAAATAAACAATCTTTGTTTCAAATCATATATTGCAAGTATGTTACAGAAAACTCAAGTTTTAAAAAGACATTTAGCCATATTAGCCACAGCTATATTAGCTATAGTAGGTCTTAACCTCGGATGGAATAGTTATAATAAAGAGTGTAACAGAGGATCTTCACATTTTAAACAATGAAACATTGTTTTCTCTTTTTTTAGGGTGATTTATTACATAATCTGGTTTCCTAGTAATTATTTCTTAGAATAACTAAGTTTTAATTGAGTTAAAAAAAGAAATGCAAATTCCATACCTTCATACTCTAACCATATTTAGAAGAATACTGACACATTAATATCACAGTCAAGTGCAATAGACAGGTTGTTTTCTCTATGAAAACACTTTTGACCTGATACAGTAATACCGGCTTTCCTTTCTCAATCTATTTGCTATTTACATATGCTAAAAGTCAAACTACCAAAGTCCCATAATATATATTTACATTTATCATTGAACCATCCGTATTGAATTTTTAAAGTTAACAAATCATGTGTTTGGTTTACCAAATTAGACAATAGAGGAGCATACATAGATATTGATAATCTCTTCTACTCCCCATCTTTTACTCCTGATAATATAGGTTTATAATGGTTTATCTCTTCACATATTTCTTGTGTTAATAAATACAAGTATATCCATATATACAAATATATACACACACACACATATACAGCCTTAATTTTTAAATGGATTGTACAATAAACATTCTCTGAAAATTTTTAGCCGTTCATTTTATTAATATATATTAATACAAACAAGAAAATGGATATACCAATTGCTTTAAAATTGTATGATATTCCACAGGACAGAAGTACCTTACGTTATTTGATCATTCTCCTTCTGATGAAATTTTAGGTAGTTTTTAGTTCCCTTTCACGTAAAAGCAACACTGCAATAAATATCCTTGTACATTTGTTTCTATATCCTGACACTTTCATTTCTGTTAGGTTTGTTGTTACAGAATTTGGCAAATGGTATGCACATTTAAATTTAACAAATGCTGACAGATTAGTTCTCATTTTCCCACCACAATGAAAAAATAAAGTCTATTTTATATTATGCATCCCACGAATGCAAGGATGTTTCAACATATTCAAATCAATAAATATGATACATCATATTAAGAGAATGAAAGGTGAAAGTTACATGAATCTCTTAATAAATGCAGAAAAAATATGACAAAATTCAATATTCTTTCATGATAAAAATTCTCAACAAATTGGTATAGAGGGAATGAATAACAACACATTAAAGGCTATACATGACAAACCCACAGATCATGTCATACTCAATGGTGAAAAGTTGCAAACTATCTCTCTTAGATGAGGAATAAGACAAAGGTGTCCACTAAAAGTTTTCCTATTCAACAGAGTAGTGGAAGTCTATTCAGAACAATCAAGACAAAAAAGGAGGAAAGAAGAACAGAAGGAAGGAGTGAAAGAAAGGGCACCTGAATTGGAAAGGAAGAAATAAAATAGTCTCTGTTTGAAAGTAATGTGATTTTATAAATAAAAAATTCTAAAGACTCCATAACTCTACCAAAAACCAACAACAACAACAACAACAAAAACACCTCTTAGAAATAATAAAGTTGTAGGATACCAGACCAATATACAAAATCAGTTGCATTTTTTATACCAACTATAAATTATCTGAAAAAGAAATAACTCTATTTACATTCACAGCAAAAACAATAAAATGATTAGGAATAAGTTTAACCAAGTAGGTGAAAGATCTGTATATTGAAAATGATATGATATTGATGAAAGAAATTGAAAAAGATACAAATAAATGGAAAGATAGTCCATGCATGTAGAATGATTGGAAGAATTAATATTGGTAAAAAGTAGATACTACCCAAAGTCATCTATAGTTTTAGTGCAATCACTATCAAGATTCCAATGGCAGTTTTGAAAATCAGAAATAGAAAAAAACACTAAAATTTATATGAAACCATAGAAGTCTCTGAACAACCAAAGCAATCTTGATAAAGAAGAACAAAGCTGGAGAAAGTATACTTCCTGATTTCAAAGTATGTTACAGAGCTATAGTAATCAAAAGGGTGCGGTACTTGAACAAAAACAGTTTAGTGGAACAGAATTGGGGGCCCAGAAATAAGCTCCTGTATATAGGGTTAATTTGTATTTGATAAAGGAGTCACAAAAACTCAGTGGAGAATAGACCATCTTTTCAATAAATTGTGCTGGGAAAACTGTACATTTACCATCAAAAGAATGAAACTGGACTCTTAGCTTACACCACTCACAAAAACTCATTCAAAAAGGATTAAAGGCTTAAGTGGCAGACTGAAACTATAGAAGAAAATAGGGAGAAAAGCTGTTTGATAGCCAAATGGGCAATAAGTAAATGAAAACACCACTAATTATTAGGGAAATGCAAATCAAAAACACAATGAGATATCACCTCATAATACTAGAATGGCTATTATCAAAAGGACAGAAGATAAGTGTTGGCAAGAGTGTGAAGAAAAGGGAATCTTTGGTACACTGTTGGTGAGAACATGAAACTGTATAGTGACTGTGGAGGGGATCTCAGAAAACAAAAATGGAAGTATCATATGTCCCAGTAATTGCACTTTTGGGTATGTATCTGTGTATCTAAAGGAAACAAAATCATGATCTCAAGACCTTAGCACTCTTATGTTCACTGTAGCATTAATTAGAGTAACCAAGACATAGAAACAACCTAAATGTCCACTGATGAATGAATGGATAAAGAAAATATCACACACACCCCCCAGAATTTTATTCAGCCCCCACCCCGCAAAAGAAATCCATCTATGTTGTCACAACATGGATGCACCTCCTGGAGAGCATTATTCTAAGTGAAATAAGTGACCTCACATGTGAAATGAAAAATGAAAATCAACAGAGAACAGCTTGGTGATTCCCAGGGCCAGGGGATGGGATGGAGTGTGGAAATGGGTAGTAAAAGGGTAAATACTTCCAGTTGTAAGATGAGTACGTTCTGGGGATATAATGTAAAGCATTAAAACTATAGTCTACAACAATGTACTGAATATTTGAAAGATGCCAAGAGAGTATATTTTAAAAGTTCTCAACACACACACACACACACACACTTGTAACAATATGCTACAATGAATATGTTAACTAACCTGATTGTGTAATTATTTTGTCATGCATGCCTATTTAAAATCACTACATTGAACCCACTAAATTTACAAAATGTTATATATCAACTATATTTCAATAAAACTGGGGAGAAAAGAGAGTTTTAGCAAAATAAAGCAAGGAGCTATGATGCAGAGTGACAGGCATGACAGGACATCAGACTTGGTGGTGAGTGAAGGGCAAACAAAAGTCAACCAACGAAATAAACAACGTTCCCATTGGGAATCTGGTTGGAATTTCATTCAAATATATTTTTATTTGAAAAGGATGATCCAAATTTTCGGGCTTAACAATATGGCCTGTCTTTCCATTTAGACCAGATTGATGTGTACGTCCTCAATAAAATTAAATAGTTCCTTTTTCATGTTGATCTCATTTATTTTTATAATTTTTTATCTAATTTCTTTTTAATAATTTAATAATTTCTTTTTAATAATCACTTAAGTAATAGGCTTAATTTTGCTTAAGACTTAAGTAATAGGCTTAATTTTGCTTAATATTGGTTGGTGTGTTTCTGTCCATGTTGCTTGCTTTTCATTGTAAACTTCTAAAGGAGAGATTCAGAATGTTTTATATTGCTTTTGTTACAGTATGTTTGAGGCATAAGAATATCATTCTATAAAGAGAACAAAAAGAAACTTAAAAACAGACAGCTTCTTATCTCTAGACATAGAGTTTACTCAAAAGTTGAGTGACTGGGTATACTGTAGGATAGTTCATTCATTCAACTACTTATTGAGCTTCTACTACATGTGCCAGGTATATTTCTTGGGGCTGAAGATATAGGTGGTAATCAAACAGAAAACACTCCTGCCTGCAGGAAACCTGAATTCCAGTAGGAGATGTGAGGCAGGAGTGAGCCTGGAGGGCAGGGGGCTGGCATAGGGCATCCAGGAGACAGCAGTGGTGGGTGAGACTGAGACTGGCAGGGCAAAAGGACAGATCACAGAGAGCCTTTGTGACATTTAAAATATGATCTAGATTTTTTTTAAAGATATATTTATGCATACAAGAACCGCGATGTAAGCCAAAGGTGGGGGGGATGAGAGGACCCACCAGAGAGAGTGGGGAGCAGAACTGGCAGATTCACCAAAATACACTGCAGAAGGGAGCAGCGGGTGAGGCAGGAGAGGACTGCCGTACCACATGGGTTTCTCCCTGGCTGGGGATCAAACTCTTGGTGCAGTGGCCGGGTGACAGTTGCCAGTGCTCTCTTTAACTCCTCCACCACCAGGGAGGCCCCTGGTGATTTTTTTCCTTAAGGATTACTCTGACTTCTGTTTGGAGAATACACACTGGGGCAAGTGTGGAAGCAGGGAGACCAATAAAAGGTTATGACTGTTCAAGGGAGAGATAACATAACTTTGGGCTTGGTAACCAAGGGGATGCAGTGAGAAGGGGGAATCCCTCTGACACTATATTTTAAGTTAGAACCAGTAATATGTATTGATAAATTGGTAATCGGATATGGCAGAAAGGTAAGAGTTAGGATGACTCTAGGTTTCAAAGATGTGGGCTTCATATGCAACTCAAATATTATGCTGAAAATGCATGTGTCTTTCTGTGATATTGCAGAAGGTATTTAAAGTTCTCATGGAGTATCAGAGTCATCATGCAAGCAGAGGCAGTTGTCAAAATATTGAATAACCTAGTCACAGTACAGAAAGCAGCCATTCTGCAGTGCTAGTGTGCACAAGCGGAAATGAGGTCTGATTATAAATATTCACTGCTGCAAAGCTATAGGTAAAGGTGCTCCCCAACAATTATGTGCTTATTTGTTTCAAAAGAAT